TCTCTCTCTCTCTCTCTCTCTCTCTCTCTCTTCCTCTCTCTGTCCCTCTCCCCTCTCTCTCTCTGGCTGTTTCTTATTTTCCTTTTCCCTCCCTCTAATCTACCAAACATTTCCCCTCTCTATAACCCCCACCCCTACCCCACCCCACCTTCTCCCACAGTGTGTGATCGCCACAGTAGCCATCTGTGTTGGCACAGGCCAGTCACTGCTGAGGTTCTATGTGTTCTGTGTGTGGCTGTTCCACGGCATGTCAGTGGTGGCGCTGTTGGTGCTCAGATTCAAGAACAAGCACAAAAAGCGACCTTATAAGGTGAGTTGTTGTCCGCATCCATTTAGTAGCTATACTTCACTTGCTGACGACAGCTTATGACGAATATACGAAAGCGACAGGCAAATTTCATTGGACACACAGTGCGGAAAGAAGCATTGGAGAATGTTTAACAACAGGCAAGTTTGATGGAAAGAGAGACAGAGGCTGACAGAGGGAAAACATACTGGACAAGTTTTCAACATGGCTGAGAGCAGCAAGAACAACAGACACCATTGCTGCAACGCAAGACAGATGGATGTGAAGGTCCATGATCGCCCACGCCAGTCAGCAAGGCACCGGGAGATGATGAATATCACTTAATGTGCATGAATTCCAACAGTTGTGTGTTGCCACAACCATTTCTTCCGACAACCATTCATTCCACAAACCCCGTATTCCAACAACCATGTTTTCCAACAGTCTATGTTTTCAAAAATCATCTTCCCAACAATCATGCTTTCGAACAATCATGTACAGCCACATTCATATGTAACAACCCCCCACCCCGCACACCCACCTCTCCCCACCTCCCCAAACATTCATGTATTCCAACAAGCTATATTGCCAACGATAATATTTATCCAATAATCATGCATTCCAACAATCATGTATTGCTACAATCATGTAACAACACCACGATCCTCTACCCTCCCCTCCCTTCCCCCTCCCCCACTCCCACCCCTCCCCTCCCTCCCCCACCCCCTTTTCTCCCCGCTCACCCCCCAGGTTGACCTGTGGATCCCCGTGGTGGTTGTGGTGGGTGTGTTGTTCGTGCTCCTGGCCCCGTTCCTCGAGTCACCTCAGCCTGTGTTTATCGCCGCCCTCATCCTCATAGGTCTGTCACTGCTGTGTTACTACCCCATCACTATAGTCAAGGAGAAGTCGATTGTCAACATACCTGGTACGTGAAGTTATGTCCTGTCAGCAAGCGTTTCATATCATCATCATCATCATCATCATCATCATCATCATCATCATCATCATCATCATCATCATCATCATCATCATCATCATCATCATCAGTATCAACATC